TTATTGGAGATCGTTGAACTTGTCTCTGCAACTGCTTTCAGATGATATAAAAAGAATTATAGCTAGTAATTAAAATAGAGTCGCGGTATCGTCGTTATTTAAAAATCATTGCAAATTTAAATAATCTATTGAAGCCATCGTATTAAATATAGAAAATAACGGAACCTTGTAAACTTCTATTTTCCTCGCAAATTTACTACTTAAGAAAGAACGCTGGAAATTAATATCGTGAACATCCTGTCTATTTTTAGTGATATGTGAGTCACTCAGAAGCCAAAATGATTAACTCCACTTTTTCAAATTCTGCCAATTTTAATATCAAAGCAGATGTGTACTGCTTAACTCTTCACAAATAAGAAAAAATTTAAAAGATATAATTTCACGATTTACTGATATGCGAGTCACTAAGAAGCCTAATTCCATTAAATCAAATTCGCTAAATTTCCTTTATTTATGAAAAATTAAGCGCGAAGCACGTGCTTCGATACTAAAATAGCAAGAATATCAAAAAGTGGACTTTTACCGATACAAGAGCCACTCAGAAGCCAAAGTGACTAACTCCAGCAAACCGAATTCGCTAAATTTCCTTCATTTATGAAAAATGAAGCCCGAAGCACGTGATTCGATACTAAAATTGCAAGAATATAAAAAAATGAAGTGAATCACTTTGGCTCATACCACGCTAATTTTGTCGAAGAAACGTAATTCAAATCACGGGATACTTTCTGTAGACGAAGGGAAAAACTGTGCTCGCATTGAGAAAACAGTAAACAGAGACGAGACAAGTCCATTACACCTATCCGATAGTCGAACAGAGATAGCAGAAAAATGTCGGTACATCCTTCCTTCCACCCATTTCCTCTGCGTGTGCAACGCGAACAGAAACGGACCGCGATTCGGTGACACGCGACTGCACGGGAAAACAGCACACCGTGTAGCGGCGAGCAACAACGATGAAATCACGACGTTATTCCTGTCGCGTAATCGTCATCGCTGCGTGTGCTGTTAACTTTTACGTAATAATCGGAGGAAAGCGTGCCTCGGCGTAACTGCTCTGTTTCCACAAAAGGCGGAGAGGGAGGGCTGAGACCGTCCTCGGCTAGTCTAATCTACTGCTCGGCCGGTCGATCGCGATCCAGCTGAGGTCGCGAGTCGAAAGTGGACGAGAGACACGAGTTACACTTGGATTCGACCGCGTAACCGGGACGATCGACAACCCGCTCTAGCAATTACCGATTCCACGGAGTGTTCGGGGAACCTGGGATTGCGCGGACCAGGCAAATGGCTCGAGCAACGGTGAATAAGCGCAGCGTGCCAAGAATTTCGCATGGCGCTACCGTCTCTGCGTGTGCCTATTGCGTTTCCTCTTCGAGTGTTTCTCCTTTTTTTTTTCTCCTGGCGCCCTGAATTTAGCGAAGGAATTATTTGTAAAAAAAAGGAGACTTTTTTTCGCGTCGAATGCTCTTGCGGCGCCCTGGATTTGTTCTTTTTAAGGAGAGAGACTCTTTCACCTCGAATGCGCCTCAAATTTATATTTGTCGACGCCCTGGATTTGTTCTTTTTACGCTAGAACTGTTTCTTTAAAAAAAGAGACTTTTTTCGCGTCGAATGCGCCTCAATTTTTTCTCCCTGGCGGCCTGGATTTATTCTTTTTAAGGAAAGTATTGACTTTAAGAAAAGAGACTTTTTCGCGTCGAATGCACCTCAATTTTTGCTTTCTTGGTGGCGCCCTGAATTTATTCCTTTTAAAGAAATAATTGGCTTTAGAGAGAAAGAGACTTTTTCGCGTCGAATGCGCCTCAATTTTTTTTCCCTGGCGCCCTCAATTTATTCTTTTTAAGGAAAGTATTGGCTGTAGAAAAGAGACTTCTTCGCTTCGAATGCGCCTCAATTTTTTTTCCTGGCGCCTTGGATTTATTCTTTTTAACCAAAGAATTCTAAAAAAAAAAGAGAGGCTCTCCCTTCAAACGCGGCTGAAATTTTCCAACGACGAAATTTCCCCGATGAAGAAAAGAAACATCCAGGTTCGTTGTTCCACTGTGCCCTCTTCTGTAACGGCGCGGGAAAACGAAAAGGCCGCGTGGACTTTCGTGAAAGCGAATCTTTTTTTCGCGGATCGTCTCACTCCGCGTCTCTCCCCTCGGAGAGAAAGAGCGGAGGCTGGAGCCTCCGGCGACGAGGCAAAAGGTATGCGGCAGGTGACTTTCCGATCGGAGTCGGTAGGCGTTCCGACGAAGGCGCGCTCGCGCCTGCATCTTCCAACGAGGACAACGATCTCTGCGCCTCTCTACGGAACCGTATCTCGATCGATCCTCGCTTTTTTTCTCCGTATTCCCCTTTCCTATCTCCTCGCCGTTCGCTCGCAATTAACCAAACACGTGTGTGACTTAACCTACCTGTGACCTTGAGAGGCTGCAGCCATTTCGGTATTCCGTACGTGCGAACAACTCGAAACCCCTTCCTGTCAAATTTCACATCACCTGCGTGAACTAAAATACAACCTCATGTAGAAATATTTGGGCCTAACCTCCTAACGAAATTATTCTCACAGGCAAGATTACAGTCTACATAACCTAAAATTCAATTTCACGATATTCGAACGACGACGAGTAGCCATAAATACCGAATGACTCTTGAATCAAGGGGTTTCATAGTAAATTGAATTCGTCACGAACGCTCCAAGTCTACCGCGATCTTCCAACTTTCGTTCCTGCCAGCCGCTAAAGTCATACACGCGAATTCCACAGTCGCGAGAACAAGCATCGTCACTTTTTCTCCCGTGTATCAGCTCGATCTCTCCGCGAAGAGATGTTGCCGTGTTCCACGCGTTGGAAACGTCTTCGCCTGGTATCCCCGGCGCATAGGTGTCAAAACGGTACGCGAACCGAAAAAGGCAAGAGAAAAAAGAAACGTTTCCGTGGAAACGGCTCGTTTTCAAGGGGTTAACGACCCCGAAATTTCGCGGTCCTCGCGTGTGTGCGCGCGGAGAGCAGGTACACGAAGACGCGAGAGAGAGGTAGAAGAGGGTGGTCCAGAGGGAGACGGACACCGGTTAACCGATAAAAGAGAGAGAGGGGAGCAGAGATTCTGCGAGAGAGTACGAGACTTCTTCCTCCTCTTCCTGCCCGCGCGCAGGAACAGAGATAAAACGGGAGACGCTCGGAGGAACAGGTAGTAACGGTACTACCTGTTCAGGCCATCTTTTCACAGCCGTCTAACTTTGAATATTGCTTTTCGGCGACGCTCGACTTAATGGGCTTATCCGTGAGCTTCGGCTTCCCACTTCCATGCAGCGTAGCTCTTTCTCTTGTCGTCCTCCATCTGCGAAGCCAATCTGCGTTTTTACCACGCGCTCTAACGAGACCGTGTCTAATTCAATCCACTGCTGTGTTTTGTCGTGTATTTGTTAACCCTTTCGTTACTATCGCCGCCTATAGGCGTTTCGAAAATTTCCTCGCGCTGCACTGTGGTCCAGGCAGCCGCTTTTCGTGGCCAAAAGTTTAACGCTTTGCAGATATTTTTTTACTTACAAAGCGAGGACGCTCTGGTCTTGAAATAACGCTAAAATAATTGTGAAAAAGCGGGTTCCTGGACCACAGCGCACTGTACTGTTCAAGCCTTCCGTCTTAATTCGACAGTTAGTTTTATCCTTTACGCACTTCCACCTTAATTTAACCCTTGTGTCAGTAACCGGGTACTCTTTTGCACATTCTCACTCAAAATATTTGATCTTCACTTATTTGGCACATTTCCTATCCCTGTTTGCCTCAAGTTTAGAATTTTGTTATTAGAAAACTACGAAAGTTGGACGATAAAGTAAACGACAATTGTGGTTATTGATGTTGAAGCAAACGGTTTATGGGTGCTGCATGAAAAATCGACATCCTGGAGTGTCGGTAAGTTTTATGACACGTCCGAAAAATATGGTTTGGGGATGCCTGCGAACACCCCAGGTATGGGGGTGCACACTGTCACCACGCTCCGTAAGCAGTCCTAATTGTGCGCCCGTCGTGTCTACGTCTTGTCCGAACATCTTTTTAAATATAATATACTCCACACGAGTTTATTTAATATAACCCCTCAACAATTGACAAGAAGGGTTAATAAACCGAATAGTAAATCATACGGCGAAAATAAGAAATTTTGCAGTCGCGGTTGAAAATTTACCGTGTCACCCACGTTACGCACAAATTTTGCAGCGGTGGTGAAAAATTTACCGTGTCACCCAGGTTACACGTTCAAATCCGCCGTAGCGAAGGGGTTCAACACGAGTTCGCGACAGTACATTCCTCGAGGAGACGAATTCACGGCGAACCACCGATCCAAAGTTCAACCTGAATCGATCACTCTCTTCAGTCAGGTAGAAAAAATGGACCAATCCCTCTCTCTCTCTCTGGGTAACCCGTTACGTCGTTTAAACGTAAAACCAGACACGAACCGTCTCTCTCTTTCCTTGAAGGTGCTTAAACCGCTAAATCTCGCGGCAGCCCGAACAGGAGAGGCTTTGCTCGACCAGTTCGAGCATTCTCGCACCGATCCATCGCATCACCTTGTACCTGATGCACTTCTGAGTGTTCCGAAGTCCGGCAAGTGGCCGCAACTCTGTGTATACGCCGTCGTTTAAGCTCGTTCAGTTCGACCTATTATTCATTTCGTCACATACACACACAGTTCACCTGCAGATCCGATCAGAGAAACGCCGTTCACTTGGACAACCTAGAGAGAAATAATCGATGGATTAAATTCGATCGAAGGGGTTGCTTTTCCTTCTTCTTTTTCTACATCCCTGGTTAAAGCCGTGGTCGTCTCGAATATAAGAGGATCGCAAAGGTCGCGACGATTCCGAGTCGTGACGCGAAAAGGCACGTTCTTGAAACGTGGAATCGAGGTCAGTCTTGCGGTGAACGGGCTGCAGTTGCACGTACATATACATACATATATATGTACACCGAATAACAGACACACGGGATGCAAACACGAGGAACGAAATCGGGATATACCTGTTTTATGGCCATTCCTAAGAATCCCCATATCGTGGCCGTATTTAGTCGTGACAGCTTTCTAAGCTGTTCCATTGAAAATTCATTCATCTCGGGAATGGGACACGCACGCTCGATTCGGGTCTCGAGATAACGGATTCGTTTTGCTTCGCAATAAAACTCGGTTCTTTTCCTTTTTTATTTTTTAAAAACTCGTCGTTTTCGTAGATAAAATTCTCTCCTCCATTGTCGCGCGTGTAGCGTTACACGCGACGAAAAGGTAATTGGAAGTTACAGTTCACGGGGTAAGTTGGACAAGGAGGATCGATCGATCGATCGCCGCCATTCAGAGCTTCCGTCGACCGTCTCTCTATTTTACAACGACGAAGGTCGTGATCGTAGTTCTTTTACAATTGTACAATGTGACATTTTGCGCTTTAATCTCGCGAACAATCGTGTTTCTTTCGTTTTCTTTAAACGCACACAGGTTGGAATTGATTTATCGATCGACGATTAAGGTCTGTCAAACGATCTATACAGGGTGATTCTCGCAACGGGTTACAGCACTTTCTTTTCGTCGCAGCGAGAACGATAGTGAAAGCACGTCGTGCATTACGCTGCGCAAAAAACCTTTCGTGAAAAATGTCGAATATAAATGATTCGCCGCTTTCAAATCTGTGGCGACGAGCGAACGGAAGAGAGTGTCCGCAGCGGAGCTCCTGTTCTCCGTGATCGTTTCGGGACGTTTCAAATCGACCTGCGGGGAAAGAAACACCGGAAAATTGGACCTCCGGTCATTTTGAAACGTGTAAAATTATTCAGAAGGGGGGGAAGAAAATCGTTGCGTAAAATCGGCGAGGTTTTTGCGGTGAGAGGCGTGTCCAGAGATAATAAGTCAGTCCGTTCATTGTACGTCGTCCTGAAAAGGAATTTTCTCGGCGAGTAGGCCGCACGTTACAAGGACTTGTTGGAAATGGCAATCGATATACATTAAGGGGCTGATGCGCGCGTCGATTAACCGAAACGACTATGGTCTTTTTGCTCATTCAGTGATTTTACCGAGGTTGCAGATTGCGCTCTTGCGGAATACAATTTAAATTGAATAAAAATTGACCTGCCGAAACGGGCGAAACGACCGATCGATCTTTCAAAATTTTCTCGCGAAGAATAAATATTTTTTCCGTTATTTGTGAATTTGAAACCAATATTTCACATCTTTTTCATTTTCGTTATTTGTGAATTTGAAACCAATATTTCACATCTTTTTCACTTTTCTCCGATAAAACAGGGTGACATTTATGAATATTCTTTTCATCGCACTGAATTTAAAAAAAATGTTCCCACGTTTTTCACTTTTCCCCGATAAAAGAGTGCGACATTTATGAACACTTTTTCCGTAACACTGTGAAGTTTAAAAAAATATTCCCACCCTTTTCACTTTTCTCCGATAAAAAAGTGACGTTTGTACATATTTTTGGTAACATTGTGAATTTAAAAAAAATATTCCCACCTTTTTCACTTTTCTCTAATAGAAGAGTGTGACATTTATGAATTTCTTTTCCGTGACATTGTGAATTTAAAAAAAATATTCCCACCCTTTTCACTATTCTCCGATAAAAAAGTGACGTTTGTACATATTTTTGGTAACATTGTGAATTTAAAAAAGATATTCCCACCTTTTTCACTTTTCTCCAATACAAGAGTGTGACATTTATGAATTTCATTTCCGAGACATTGTGAAGTTTAAAAAAATATTCCCACCCTTTTCACTATTCTCTAATAGAAGAGTGCGACATTTATGAATTTCTTTTCCGTGACATTGTGAATTTAAAAAAAATATTCCCACCTTTTTCACTTTTCTCCGATAAAAAAGTGATGTTTGTATATATTTTTGGTAACATTGTGAATTTAAAAAAAATATTCCCACCTTTTTCACTTTTCTCCAATACAAGAGTGTGACATTTATGAATTTCTTTTTCAAGACATTGTGAAGTTTAAAAAAATATTCCGACCCTTTTCACTGTTCTCCGATAAAAAAGTGACGTTTGTACATATTTTTGGTAACACTGTGAAGTTTAAAAAAATATTCCCACCTATTCACTATTCTCTGATAAAAAAGTGACATTTGTACATATTTTTGGTAACATTGTGAATTTAAAAAAAATATTCCCACCTTTTTCACTTTTCTCCAATACAAGAGTGTGACATTTATGAATTTCTTTTCCGAGACATTGTGAATTTAAAAAAAATATTCCCACCTTTTCCCTTATTCTCCGATAAAAAAGAACGCACACTACGGTAATGCGACATTTCTAAAACGGCAATTATCAACGATTGGCCTCCATCAATCACTCTTCCAGTGGCAGTAAATTCATTTTTATTACCTCTGCCTAACAGGCTAATGCAAAATGCCGACGAGCCGAGCAACTGGCGTGAATGAATTTTCCTTCACTTTCATTCCTATTGGCCGGTATAACGGTACCGTTCTATTGTTCGTGTAACGACGGTCGTTCGAATATAAGGTAATTACTAACTTAACTAGTCGGTGTGTAGAAGGTAAAGGCCGATGATGATCCTTTCGTGTCCGCGTATCGCAAGCTCTTTATTGACAAATAAATACGACAATAATGTATATACAAAAAAAAATAAATAATAGGAAAAAGAAAAACGTGTTCACCCGTCTTCTACGAAACAGCGTATATCGGGTCAGGTCGCGTTATTACACCGTTCGTCTCTCCATCGCGAATTCTGGAATCACGTGTACGTGAAGAAACGTGGAAAAATCGAACGAACAAACACGATCGTGTCTCGAAATCGAGTGGAGAGTTCGCTCGAAACAAACGCACACGGTTCGAAACGAAAACAGGCTTGCGGCCCGTGTTATCCTTTTCTTTCGATCGATACGATTCTCTTTTCTTTTCTTTTTTTTTTTGCTCGTTTTCTTCTTTCTTTTACTTCTCGGGGCTTAAACGTAACAATACTAAGAGTACGATAATTCTAACAGTCGGAGTTTTTAACAATAATGCGATACTTGAAAATATCTCTCGACTCTTGTGTTCTTATGCAAAATACGTTCAGCGTAGAAAAACTTCGCTACAAGATTCGCCTATATAAAAATTAGTGCTTTCTCCGAGGAAGTCGGTCGAGTGTATTTTTTTTTTTTCATTTATTTATTTGTTTATTTACTATTAATATTCTTCTGTTCGTGTTCGTTTCACGCTGTCTGAGAGCGTTCACGCAAAATGAACGCAGTGTGGAATCGCGGATATTGAACATTTTCGGAAGGATGGAGAGCGGAGAGAATGTCGATGGAAAAATGAGAGAGAGACTACTGTCTGTAAAGAAAAATCATGGAAAATGCTCCCTTCTTCGTTCTATTTTCTTCTTCCTTCTTTTGTGCACCGCGATACCATTCGTCCCTCAAAAATGAGTCTCTTTTACCGGAGAGCCTGTGACTCGGTTCCGCGCTATCTACAGATCAGACACAGAGCTTGAGCAATCTAATATTGAGCAGTCGTGCGTATTAGAGGAATCGTTTTATTCATTTTTCGTGTTATCTTCTGGACAGAAACGAACGCTAGAGTAAGTATCCGGGAGTTGTGGAGAAGAAAGAGACGAAAGATTCGTATGATACGTGACGTGGTTGAACAAAAGGTAGATCGGAAGTGAGGAAGGAAGAGATAGAGGTCGTCGAAATTTCGCCCGTTTGTCTGTCGTGTAACGTATGTGTGTCTATATTTCTACATAAAAAATAAACCTTAAAACGTAAAAATGTTCGCAAGGGAGGAAAAAAATCTTAGGTTAACTCGTGTTACGTCTATGACTAATCGATACGTAAAATTGCAAGTGTTAAGAGTAAAAAAGAAAGGATACGGAATAGGAACAAGAGGACAGTCCTCGACGTGTTTATCATTTACCCTTAAATTAAACGCTGCGTTCTCCGCAAAAGTGTGATTAAATAAGACGCGTGTTTTCATCGATCCCAGATAAAGAAAGAGAGAAAAGAAGAAAAAACTACGATAATTAGGATAAAACTTAAAGAGACGTGTAAAAATCGCCGGGAACGAACAAAGAGCGCAGGAGAATCGCTCGAGGATCCTTTTTCTAAAAAGTGTGCGAAGCGTGTCCTTTCGACGTGTTCCTTTTATTATTTTTTTTTTTTCTCATATAGAAGTGATTCTCGCGAAAATTAAGTAATCGGAGGATACAGGAGAGGCTTCGAGAGAGAGAGAGAGAGAGAGAGGAATCGAGGAATGAATTTTTCGTCGTTCGGCCGAAATGGCGTCGTTAAATAGAGATAAAATGGCGTCTGACGGTCGGCGGAAGTTCAAGAAAACCGCAGATTCTTCCAAGGAAGGGACAATTTTTTCTTCTCTTTTTCCGACGATTCTCCCTTCTCTTCGAAGAAAGATCCTGCGTTTCCCTCGTTTTGTCGATGTGCCGCAATTTGCCTGGTTGTCGTCGATTCGAGAGGCCGGACTCCGCTCGTCGAACCGTTGAAATATTCCTGTCTCGCCGGCGATCGCCAGCATCGATTTTTCACGCGTTTACGTCCGCTAATTAAGCCACGCAGCCACACACATCCTTCGCAATCATCGTTTTACACAGGCACGCGATTATTCTCGCTTCTTCGTTGAACACAATCGCCCCACGCATCATCCATGCACAGTCATTCTCGTTTACCTTACACAGGTATATATATATCTCTGTAATACCAGATTCTTCGACCTTAATTCAAGTATTCCATATACATTTATATATTACACGATCTGAAAATTATACAAGTATATAGGCCTAAGAAACATCTTTCCCTCTTCGTCTTCTTCTTTCAGAGCCACTTTCTTTTATCTTCTTCTTCTTCTTCTTGTTACTTCTTTTTTTTTTCTTTTCATCTTTTCGTATGATATAGAGAGAACTTGTCACTTCGTAGGAAACATTTCTTGCTTTTTTCTTTCTTTTAAATCTTACAACGCCTTACGCACACGCGATCTGCGCGCGCGTGTACACTACAAACAAACAAGTATTATACACGCGTGCAAAGTATACGTACGGTCTAAGCGTTAACTGTTTAATCCGTGTTTATACACTAAATACTTTAGAATACGAGCGAGGCTTCACATTGTTTATAATACAACAATCGTCCTGTCGGATCGATCCTCAACGGGGATCGATTTACCGGGAACGTTCTTCCTCTCCGCTCGTTCGAAGCTCCACGGGACAAGCTTCGCGAACGAGGGCGGGAAGAAGAGGGGGTTTCCGTTTTTTTAAATCTTAAACGTTTATTAAGCGAGACTGCAAGAACTGCGAAAGAGAAGAAAGCTTACTTAGTTTCCAGGCGATCGCGACCTACGTCGATCCTTCTCGTCGCTTTTCGCCGGCGAATCGCGACCTCGATCCTTCCCGTTCTCCGCTGCTTCGCGCTCTGTAAACGAGCGGAAGATCGAACGTAGAAGGTTCGGTCGCTGCACACGTTAACGAATAGTACGAGGGAAAATTGGCGCGAAAGAGAACCAGTATGATTTTGTGCGGAGCTCAGAAGTTTGCCCGCGGGGCAGCTCACGGGCAATAAAGGGCATTTCGCTCGCACCGCCTGAACCGTACGTCGCACAATTTCAAGCGATCCGATAATGATAATACGCGTGCCCCGTTTTTAGACCAGCATTCCTTACAGCAGCAAACTTCTAAGCTTTACGCAGTATGTACCTGGTTTCTCATCCTCGCGAAACTTTCGCGCGCTCTTAACTCTCGTCGTTTAGACCCTTAAAATTCACGCGAGAACAACGAGAAATTGGGTGAATTTAAACATCGACTTAATCTCCACTCGCAGAGACGTGTTCGTTAACCTTTTCAGTGCCAGCTCGGTACTTGTGCGAAAAATGTCGGTACATCGGCCTCGTTTCTTCGCGTTCAGATTTTCGCTGGCAATAATTTTTGCTGTACAACAGGATCTCCTATAACGCGACAAATGTGACGCAAACGAAGTTCCACCGACGTTGCTTTTTTGGGTCAGACTTAATTAACCCAAAATTCGAAAATTACGAATTCACAATTTGTACGTCCTTTCCTTTTTTTTATCGCGTTACGCGGTGCCATACCGTATCAAAATTGCACTCCATACCCTTCAAGTTCGAAAGGAATAGACAGTAAAATTTTCCTCCAGCAAATAGGCATTTTCTTCTTTGCAAAGCTAATCGTAGCGACGCGCATATCAAATCGGCCCGTGGCATTCTTCGCGTCTACTCTGTAGACGGGCCTGGCACTAAAAGGGTTAAGAGCCGTTACGCACTGTCGACCAGTCGCGAGAGACAAGGTCGTCGACAACCACGAGCGACAGATCAAACCGATGTAAGTCAGAGTTCCGAAGATTTGGACCTAAGCGGTGAAATGCAAGCTGCACACGCGAGACTGTTGCAAAGGCAAGTGAAGTAAGTTCTTGGGACAGGCTTTCTGGTAACGTTGAATACGATACTACAGTAGCAAATTTCATGCTGCGTAATTTATGCTATCAGTTCTGACAACATTCTCCGTTTCTCTGAATAAGGAAATTCTGACTTACTATCGCTTCAACCCCCTCGAACTTTCTCGCTGACCAGACCTAATCACGGGCTTCGATACAGAAACATCGATACAACCACATTAACAAATTTCGCGTTGTATTGGATGATTGCAAATTTCAAATGTGTATCTTACGTTCCTATCGAATTTTCTTTTCAAATGAAACGTGCCTCTGCACACACCGCCTGTGTCAATTTTCAAATCTTGCACGAACTTTTGTCCACTAAGGTCGCCCGATTTCTGGTCTCTCGTCGACCGGTGGACAGCGCGTAACGGCTCGTAGAACAAGTAGAATTTAAACGTCGGCTCGGTTCACCGAGACGCGGGTTCGGTTAAAGATTCCCTCCTCCTCGACCTGTAACGCGCGATAGCGGTAATAACGCGCGAAGCGTTGCGAGCAGAAATTGTGTGCACACACGGTTGTTATTGGGTCAGAGCGGTGTGCTCGTTACATCGTAACACCGGTGCGGTAGGTTGGCGTGTTAGCCGAGTGTTTCGGTGGCGAATGCAGGGGCGACCGAGTGAAAACGGGGCAAGTGAGCGCCGTATAAAGGCGGCCGTCGATGAATCGAATTCCAGTTTCCTTTTTCTCGAAACGGCGTTCCGCGCGGCGTACTCGCCAACACGGACCAAACACAAACAGCCAGCCAACAACGGAAAAATGCGCGTTTCAGCTTTTACCCGGCGACTAATTGTTCCGTGCGAGTAACCGGCCGATTATCGAACTCTCGTTCCCACGGAATTCCATTTTCCGCTTCCCACTCTCATCGTTGCCAACAGATCTTCTATATATCGAGAACTTGCATGCGTATGTGTGTGTGTGTCCGTTCTGCTTCCGCTTTGATTGCACGCTTCTGAAACCCTTTTTGCACGTGAAAAACGCGAGAAAGGAAGAAAGTACGTGGCGACGGTTAACGATAAGTCTCGAGGAGATTAGAGGAGCGGTGCGAGTCTTGAGTGTGTACGGGGAAGATACTCGACGAACGAGGGAGAATAGTAGTTAATAAAAAGAGAAATAAAGAGGATAATCTTTGCGGAGAGATGAGAGAATATGTATATACGACATACATACATACATATATGGAACTTCTACCATTTCGTTCGATAAACGTTAAACTTACTCAGCGAAATATACGGGCGTAATAAATGGGATTAGCTAATCAGTCTTGTGTTAGAGGCTCGTTAACGTCTAGATTCAACTGCGTGTCGCGTCGCTTCGCGATGCGGATCGCTCGGTCCATCGCGGATTTTTATTTTCATATGCTCCACACGATTCGATACATCTTCGTCGTGTTTTATCACCTCTCGCGGAACGACACAGCGTGTCTCGTATTTATCTCGTCAATGTTCAACGGCCCTATTCGTTTACAATATTTCGTCGCTGATAGCACCAACGATGAGAACGACAGGTGGCCGAACAACGCGCAAACGCGAGGCGACTACTTCTTCTATTGCACGGTTATCGAGAATTTTAGCGTAAGGATCGTTGCGATTTCCCTCGAATAAATCAAGGAAGCGTACGCGTAGAAGTGAATGTACACGGAGACGCTTCGTTCTTCGCGCGATCGAATTATTATCTGTTGAACTGTGTCTCGGGAACAAGCGGGATGTGAAAAGAAAAAGGGGAGAAAAAAACGTTGTCAACGATGATCTATGAAACTAGCGCCTCTGAAAAATGAAGAAAGTGTGCAAAAGAAATCGTATCGTACACGAGCTCGTGAACTATTTCTCCATTCGGGAATTGGTCTCCGTGTGTATTCATTTTCTATCACGCGTCGTACAACCTAACCTATGATAGTAAATAGCAATCTAAGAAAGCCTATGGTGAATGTGCGAAGTGGCAACTAAACGCGTCCAATTCGCGCCTATTCTTTTGTTAAAATATAAAATCGGTCAACTGTCCGGGGGCCCGCCTAATTGCCACTTGGCGTGTTCTTTTTTATCATCGTGAACGCGATTAACGGAAGGAAGCCTGGTCTCTCCTTATCGTTCTATTATTCTGGCGAATGAGAAGCGCGTTTTTACGGAACGCATACCCGTGTGTACATGTACTTACACAGAATGCATATGAATCTTTAACGTTTAAACGGTCGATACCTTGGGAGAAAATGACACTCGTTTTGTTCTTCTCGCTTGTCTTCAACCGGTTCTCGTTCTTCCTTTCATCGTTTGAAAAGAAGGCAGTGTCTGCTGTAACGTGGTTACACGTCGTGCGTTGTTTGTCTCGCGGACGTAATTTGGATATACTTGGAGAGAAAGAGAGAGACGAAGCCGGGGAAACGTTGTCGAAAATAGATAACTCATAGGTAGTTTTCAAGATAAATAGGGAGACGTCGAATTGTCTAAAAGTTTAAAAGTGCAACTTAACTAACGAGGAAACGGCTCCTCTGTTCTAAGATGACATTCCATCAAATGCACCGCGTCCGTACAGTGTTGTATAAAAAACACGCGAGTGAAAGAATTGGAAAGAAAAAACGGTCCGGACGTGTAATTATAGCAAATACACTGCCCTTTTTCGAAGATTCGTTAAATCTCTCTGGTTCGACACTCTCGTTCGTCAACGAATAATCATTTTTGCCAGCGCGGACCGCTTCGAAATATCTAACCGCGCGTTCGCCGATCCACGTTGAAAAATACAGATTTTCCATCCCTCACTAGTCAATGCGCGCGTCATCCTCGATCAGATCGACACTTCCCCAAGTTCGTCGAAGTTGATCAGCGAGGAAACGCGGTCCGCGAACGCGTTAACACTACGTAGTCGTACCGCCCATGTATCCGTTGTTCAATGCCGTACGAATCTCAGGGCTACCGTTCTCGTAGTCCGAAGTGGCCAGCTTGGACGAGTTCGGGCTGTTCAGGTAGCTTCGTTTGCTAGGATTCCTCGGGCTTCCAGACCTGTTGCTCATCGACAGCTGACTCAGATTGTTTCGAGAAACGCTGTTCGCGCTGATGAAGCTCGAACTCTTCACGGACTTCTGGCTCTCCTCGACGAAGGGGATGTTCAACGCGTCCACGCCGTCGAATTCGTCGAAGCTGGCCTGAAGAGGAGCTTTCGAGGAGTTCATGTTGTGGCTGTTTACGGTTGCCTGCGAGTTCTCGCCGAAATCTTGTCGCAGAGGGGTGTTCTCCTCGCCTTCTACCTCTTCCAGATGTTGTCTACGAAGAACCGTTCGGTCGGTTAGGTTAGAAACTAGCAATAGAGGTGTGCACGATGTTACGAATAACGAAGCGTAGCAGAGATTAACTCTTACCGTTCTGTCTGAGGTGAAGAATTCGTTTTGTTCTGGCGTCTAGCTTCCTCTCCCTCTACGCTGTGATAGAAGCTAACTTTCTGGAAGTTCTCCACATCGCTGTGCTCTAATAAAATAGACACGATGTCTACGAACGTCGGTCTTCTGGACGCTTCGTGGTTCCAGGTGCGTTTCATTAGCTCGCTGAACAATTCTGGACAATTTTCCGGTGGTTCCATCACTCTTCCCTTGATTACCTCCCGCAGAACCTGCGAAAACAGAGGACATCGAGGATCAAAAACGCTGTGTAACTCGTGTTTAGAATTTGATCGATCACACACACACCTCGTCGTTGGATGATCCTTGGTAAGGCTGCGAGGCGAAGGTAACCATCTCCCACAACACGACTCCGTAGCTCCATACGTCGGAGGAGCTGCTGAATATACCATCCTTCAAGCTCTCCGGCGCCATCCATCTGACCGGTAACAGACCCTTGGTTCCCTTTCGATAGTAATCCCTCTCGTATATGTCTCTGGTCATTCCAAAGTCTCCGACCTTCACCGTCAGATCCTCGGCGATCATACAGTTCCTAGCAGCTAGATCTCTGTGCACGAACTTCTTGTTAGAGAGATAGGCCATTCCATCGGCGATCTGAAGCGCCATTTGTAGTATCCTGTCCAACTTTAGAGCCGTATGCGACATGTTGTCGGACGTTGTAGGTCTGTGACTCCTGAGGAACTCTTTCAGATCACCGTTCACCATCAGCTCCATGATCACCAACGTTGGCTGACCTCGGCTGACCACTCCTAACAGCCTTATCACGTGGTGAGCGTCGAAACTCCTGCAAGAATGAGAAGAGGAATTCGCGTAGAATCGTAGAAGATTGTGAAAAAAAGTTGAAAAGAATCGTTGCTAAACTCACTTCATCATGGATGCCTCGTTAAGAAACTCGTTCCTCTCCCTAGCATTGGCGTCCTTGTTCACCGTCTTCACTGCACATCTCACTTCCGGTTTACCCTTCACGATATCCTTGGCAATTCCCTCGTACACAAGCCCGAACGAGCCGTTCCCAAGCGGTCTCAACATCTCGATATTCTCCCTAGGCACCTCCCATTCGTCCAATACGTACGGAGTGCTCACATAATCGGGATTCACCGTGGCGAACAACGTTCTGTTAGGCACGCCCTTCATCAACTTACGTTTCACCACGTAGAACGAGACGAAACCGAAGATAGCGAGGATCACGCATAGTACCAAGGAGAACACTATCCAGAATACGTTCACAGTGTTCCTTTCCTCGATGTAGAAGTATTTCTCTTGAGTATACTCGCCGTTCCCTGCCAGACTGGTTGCTCGAACCCTTACCGAGTAGTTTCCGGAGGGAAGCTCCTTCAGGAAGTAAGAATTCCGTGCTTTCGTGAAGTTTTGCCTGGTGATGCACACCAACGTTGCTTTGTACTGGAACAACACAGGGTGGAAAGATCTGTCGTTTAGAGTTTCATCGGCAGGTAGAGGATTCGTCGGATGTTCTTGCCAATTTTACGAAACTCCAAAGTGGAGGCATCTTCAACCATTTCGCTGCGGTGAATTTCAGTAGAGAACGCGCGTGGCAGATTCGGTATCGTTTTAGAAATTATTTCGTTGAATTTACGAAGTGCGGCAAAAGGCTCGAATAGCAGAATGCGAAGAAATTTTCAAAACGCCTATAGGCGGCAATGAGGGTCTGGAGGTTCATGTTACGTCAATTGCTATTCAGAGACTCTGTGACTGATTTTACGGAATGGAAAAGAATTTTCTCGAAAAGTCAGGTCTGCATCCCCTGCGACTTTTAAACCCTTTGACTACGAAAGGCGAATATATACGCCCCCTACATTTTCCTTGCTTAACGCAGTGCCTACATTTTGGCAATCCCGAAGTATCAAACTATCCAGATGAACTAAATGATGGATTTCGATTCGCTTTTAAATCCAAATTTCTATACTTTTCAGAATATTAGCATCGACTTGTTATTTCAATGCAAAGAACGTGTCGATCCATGTTTCAGAATACGTTAGAATTGTTAAATTAAATTTCTTCTCCGTTATCAATTACCAATTAAAATTGAAAGAAATGTGCACAACGACGTGCGACAGGTTCTGTGCGAGAGTGTGCAAAAGGGTTAAAAATGGGTAAAAAACGTCAATGAAAACTCACGTCTGGAATATCCACCCTCTTGTATTCGATCTGGTAGGTGACTATGAGACCGTTAGGGTGTGCTGGCTCGCCCCATTGCAGCTTCACCATTGGTAGACTGTTGTTCTTGCCGGATATGGTCATGTTAAACGTATTAGGCGGAATATTATCGGCACTCTTCATAGGCAAGGTCCGATAGGTTCTCATACTCTTGGTCGAGCATTTCTGGAACGTGTCGTTGTTGTTTTCCTTCGCTCTGCACGCTTGCACCTCGATGTTGTACGCGCCAAAGTGGCTAAGATTCTTCATAACGAACGAATGATTCGTACTGGGTATCCATCTCTCGAATTGCACGTAACTGCCGTTCTCGATCTTGTCCTCGAGAGGCTGAACGACGAAGAAAGCGTAACGATACGTTAAAATTTCGGAATTTGTCGAAAATCGAAGAAAGACACGTGGAAACGATGAAACAAGTGTTAATCATCGTCGTACCTGATCTCGTTCCGAAGCCTTAGTCTTCCGCGACGATCCATACGACCCTTCGCTAGCTTCTCGTTTCCTCCTCGTCTTCCGCTTCACGTACACCTGATTATGCACCGCATCCTCAAAAGCAATGGCACTAGACGCCTCCTTCTCGCGAAGAGATTGATCAGTTTCTTTATCGGTACACTCGCAGGTCACAGTCTCAGGTGCCATAAGTTCTTTCTCCTCTTCTATTCTCTTCCTTTCTTCCTCGGCCAACGCGATCGCCTTCGTGTCTGGCAACAGTATGGCTGAAATGTGCGACAACAAATTTCCCGATTAATACGCGAAAGATCGCGAGAAGAAGAGAGGACGATTAACTCTTTGCGGGTCTGTGGACGCGCTTTGCCTGCGAAAACGGAGATAAGCTTGAACAAGCTCATTTTGGGCAATAATCGACTAACACACACCTGCGGAAAACACGACCGCAAAGAGTTAAATGTAGAAGAAGAAGGCTCTCCCGTTCGATTCGCTACTCACGTTCGTCGCAGTAGTTTCTCTGATCGATGAAATTAGGGTCGTCACGCTCCAATCGGCCGACGATCTTGTAGTTGGAAAGGTTTCCGTTCTTGTGAAGCGGCGGCAGCCAGGACAGGATCAGCTCGCTGCTCGAGTTACTCCAGGTGCTGAGGGACCTTGGCAAACTTGGTGCATCCGGCATCGTTCGGAAATACGTCAGATTGCTCTGCGCGCCGAACCTCTCCGTGGCAATCGTGTGCGTCTTCACGTAATAAGCGTACTGCGTGTACGGCTTCAGCTGGGACAGGTAGTGCGACTGCACGTTCTTCTCCTTCATCGAAGTCATGTTCGTGGCCGCGGGCACGTCGTCGACTTTCCATCCGTCGCCGCCGCACGCGTCTCTGCCGTCGTACATCGTGACGTTTTTGTTAGGCGCCTCGATGAAGTAGACCACGTAACCCAGCAGCGATCTAGCGTCGTGATGGATGAAGGGCTCCCACTCGATCACCGCGCCTACCGACGACTTCGTACCAACTCTGGTCTTCAACTCTGTCACGTTGCACGCCACCTTGTCGCCGTTGCTGTTAGGCGCTACGTCGTAGTCCGTGAACGGCAGCAAACCGACCTTCTCTCGCAGCAGCTCGATCTTGTACAGACAGAGCTTGGGATTCAGATGGAAGAAGATCTTCCCCGGGCCGTTTTGCGAGAGAATCTGGATGTTCTTGTGCATGTTCCAGTCCCACAGCTCCTGAAGATTCTGATTGTCGAGAACGTGCAGAGAGTACTCGGAGTTGTTGGTGTCGTTGCCGCGGATCACGCGTAGATTCTTGAGGAAGTTGAGCGATATCAGCGGAAAGCTGCGCACGATCTTCAAGTACCCGTCGATCTCCTCTATCGTGCTCAAACTGACTTCCAGCTCTTTCACGATGTTCTTACCGCCTCGGATCTGAATCTCCAAGCTGCCGGTGATGTGAGTGCATCCGCGGAGCTTCTGAGCAGAGGCTATACTGTCCACTTTCGCTCCGGAGCATTCCTTCTGGCACGGTCCCTCGCATTTCTTGCAGGACACCGTGCCGTTCGATTCCTCGTCCATGTAACCAGGTGGACACTCGATCACGCAGCTCCCGTTGAACAGTTTGTACGGGTAATTCTTCACGTTGTACACACCTCGGGGTTTCTCCATTTGACGACACCTGCTCTCGTTGATGCAACGATGATCCATGAACTCTACGGTACCGTTCGGACACCGATCTCTGCACTCGTTGTCCATGGTGATCACGTCTTTGCAGACCACGCAGTCTGCTATTGTCGGGCCTGTGCAGGTGCCTAGACAGGACGGATGACAGCAGTTGCCCGCGTCGTCGCAGGCGTTATTCTCGCAGCCCTGCTTGCAGACTGAAATTCGAAGGTTATTGGAAATTTCAATGGATATTCTCCGTTTAGGCGGTTTTGTTCTTTTCAACCCTTTCAGTGTTAGGGATAGCGAAAGCTATCGGTGGGGACTATAGTTACATGAGATGAATACACGTATGTTATTTAATTTGGTGTAAAAGAATTGGAATAATAACTGATTGTTAGTTTTGCCTTGTATACTCGATCAACAGAGTTCAGGTAGAAAAAGAGCAGCGATCGCAATCGCTAGGCGCGCACCGTCCATACGGAGAGTTTTGCAGGGAGTATTCAGCAGTCAAAGGGTTAATTTTGAATACGAGTGTGGTCGGAAATCTTTTCTTTCGTTTTTCGTGTTGCTTCCCGGTTGCGTCACGTGTGTGATGAAAACTGCGTTTCACTATATCAAATATTCTCCGTTATCGTCCATTTTTAATTGCTAGAAGTTAACAAATACAGAGGCAGTAGCAATTTGTTCATTCCTTTATACATCGTCCTACTCTAACAAATTGAACTCTAAGTTTCGCTTAACATCTCTTCGATAGAACACGGAACGCATTTCCCTAATTCCTATCAGCTCACGGTTTCCCTCAACACCTGTTCGATAGAACACGGAGCGACTTAACCGTGTTGTACGAGGGTCGACTGTGTTTTCTTCTTCTTCTGCTTTTCGTCTCCCATTGCTAATTTTGCATTAGAGGCGATTTTTGCCGGTATGCTTCTGAGTGATCTGTCTAGTTGTCCTTTGTCACTCATGACCACGTGTTCATCTAACCTCAAAAATGACACCGGGATAATGCTCTGTTCTCTGTATACCTATAACTTCTTCCGAAGGATAAAATCTTTTTTATGTATGCACGTATACATAGAGGTACTGTATTGAAATATTTCACAGCTGCGTGATTTGAAATAAACTTTCGCTCTTCTAATTTATATAAACGATTAACATCTGCACTTTTCCTTTTACAAGACGAATGGGCGATTCACGAGGGTCGACTGTGTTTCGGCGGAGAAAATATCGGAGCATTGATATTTAAAAAATATTTTCATCGACGCCATCCAGAGCGTTGTTTCGTTTCAGAGTAAACACCAACTGTGTTATTCTAGCATCGATAATGTTTGTTCTTAATAATAGGACGATGGTGAACGAAGGGGGTGGGTGATAAATTGTTTGGAGATTTCACGAGGACACGCGTTTCCGGGTAAACAGAGTTTGGCGCGTGCAACCAGGAAGCTGCCCCGTCGTGCATGTTCTCCACGTGGCGCCGCGAACTTTCTCTGTAATTTTTGCGGGAGGGAACCTTTCCCTTGCTAATGAATGCGTTTCGTCCTTTACGATCGATAAACACCAACGACGTACGTCGAACCACCTTCGTTTCGTTACAACGGCTGGAAAAATAATGTGGGAGTGATAGGATATGTTTATAAGTGTAGGATCGCGAGCATTGTTGCTTTCGTTCGTTCCTCGAGAAAATAAAAGCAACGAAAGCTCAGACAGAGAACAGACCTTTTTTCGCGAGGCTTCTAGAGGCCCGTTAGTTTTAAGTTAGTTTAACATTTGCGGCAAAACCCAGGGGGTGTATGTGTGTGCGTGGTGGGAGCGTGAATGTCGGGAGAGAATGGAGACTGCGTGATTAACTCCAGAGCGGTCTTCGGGTCTTTTTTGACCCACCGCCTTTTTATATTTTTAGTCATTTCTCTGTTATCAAGTTTACGTTCCTTAACATTATTTTAAACGTTTATCGTCTAGGTTCGTATGTCGCGTTGGAAAGAAAAATTATTACACATAAGGTCTTAGGTCCTTTCTCATCCAAAAGTCTTACGTGTGCAGTCAAAACGAAGACCGCTCTAGGGTTAAAAAAGCAAGAGCCGTTTACGTTCCTTAACATTATTTTAAACGTTTATCGTCTAGGTTCGTATATCGCGTTGGAAAGAAAAATTATTACACATAAGGTCTTAGGTCCTTTTTCATCCAAAAGTCTTACGTGTGCAGTCAAAACGAAGACCGCTCTAGGGTTAAAAAAGCAAGAGCGTGGAATGAGTGACAGTGTATAGCGGCAACTCGCGACCCGCGAAATCTTAAAATTCTCCAAGTCCTTTAGGTACCGATTAGTATCGTGCTTCATTTTACAATTTTATTTAATATACCAGTCTTTTTTATTTAATATTTAGCCAAAGTTGCACGAAACACATAATCACATACAACGTTACATTTAGTTTGGCCCTTGACTCGGAGCGAGAATGATAATTTGACCCCAGAACCAGGAAGGTTGCCCATGCCTGGTGTATGGGGTAAGATTTGGAAGAGAGGAAATAGCGTGGAGAGAATAAAGTGTAGAAGCAGTGTGGTTCAGAGTTGACTAAACGTTTACTTTAGTTCTATTTACTATTGCTAATAAACTATTGTAGTATCGGGGCCCCCATACCCAAATAGGAAACCTCTAAGGGAGAATAGAGGTTCCTACAAATGGGGGCTCGTCCGGGATGGAGGTATCTACGACTACGCGAAGCCAAGCGTAGCGAGATGAAAACATGTCGAGGGCTGCACGTTTCCCAAAATCGGCTGTGTGCCACTGTGTGGGGGGAGTATACCCGAAACAGTGTGGTTCAGAGTTGACTAAACGTTTACTTTAGTTCTATTTACTATTGCTAATAAACTATTGTAGTATCGGGGCCTCCATACCCAAATGGGAAACCTCTAAGGGAGAATAGAGGTTCCTACAAATGGGGGCTCGTCCGGGATGGAGGTATCTACGACTACGCGAAGCCAAGCGTAGCGAGATGAAAACATGTCGAGGGCTGCACGTTTCCCAAAATCGGCTGTGTGCCACTGTGTGGGGGGAGTGTACCCGAAAGTGTTGCACTTTGGACATTCGAGGGCGAATGTCAGTTCAGGATATATAGGAAAATAGGAAACCTCGAAGGGAGAATATACCCGAAAGTGTTGCACTTTGGACATTCGAGGGCGAATGTCAGTTCAGGATGGCCGAGTGTATCGGGGCCTCCATACCCAAATAGGAAACCTCGAAGGGAGAATAGAGAGGGAGAGTGGTTGGCGTAGCGCGCAAAGCCTCGGCTTTGGTAAGTCGAAGGTCCCCGAGTTCGATTCCCGTTGGGCCCCTCAATACTTTTCCGTCGTCGGTTGGAGGCATCTACGGCTACACGAAGCCAGGAGGTGTGCGATGAAAACATGTCGAGGGTTTGCACGTCTCCCAAAAATGCGTTGTTTCGGCTGTGTGCCACTGTGTGGGAGAGAGTGTGCCCGAAAGTGTTGAGTTGTGTTGCACTGAGGACATTCGAGGGCGAATGTCAGTTCAGGATATATAGGAAAATAGGAAACCTCGAAGGGAGAATAGAGAGGGAGTAGTTGGCGTACGCCCCGTACTCACTTACGCCCGCCCAGTTTGGCATACAGCAGCGCACACCCATCTGAAAAAACTCCCAGCAGCCCGAAACAAAAGCCTAGAAATAGCCGCAAACCTCCCAAAACGCATCTCAACCGCCTACATTCATCGCACCCTAAACATCACACCAATAGCTGCACACAGAAAATATCAACACTTGAACAACAACATAAAGAACCACCTAAACCCATTCATAAAAGGCACAACAACAAACCCCAAGCCCACTTGGAGCCAAAGAAACCCGTACACAACCCACTGCCAAACACACGCACACACACCCCACCGCCACAAAGCAAATTAATAAAAAGAAAAAAAAACCGAGCTGGCTGACTACTCACATAAGCTGCCAAACACTACAACCCCTCATTAAAAATATAAGCAAACCATAAATACTACTCATAAGTAACACAAATGTAACATAATGTAAATAATGCAAATACGACTAATCCACTAACATAGTCTAAACCCCCGCCCTCTAGCGACTAAGTAAACGCCCACCCACCACGCTTGTAAGTTTTTACTAAATTTTCCCTATGCACCGATCTCATGATCAAACCCCCAAAACCCAAGTTCGAAGAAATCACCCAACCCCTCACCCTAACACGTCAGATGTCCCAGGACAGGAAGCGTAGCATAGCATAATGTAATAATAAATGGCAAAATGGTTAGTGGTAGTTGGCGTAGTGCGCAAAGCCTCGGCTTGCCGAGCCCAAGGACCCGGGTTCGATTCCCGGTTGGGTGGTTCCTACACTGTTATTATTATTATTGTTATTTTAATACATTTTCCGAACTTTAATCACAAGTCCAAATTAAAATGCCACAATATCTCTACCAACCCCGGTAAATCCTACAAATAAGCAGAGGTATTTCCGTGGAAAAGTTGAAGTCGGATGAAAGGGGCCCCGCCTATAGCGACATTTAACGCACCGTTTCGGCGTGTGTGCCCTCGCACAATGCTACAACTCGCGTAATTTCTCGTCGTATAGGCGCCCACGGGTGCGCCGCCTACGGTGGCCGACGTGCCGCCACCGGCAATTTCTCGTCGCCCCTTTCCGAGCCGGTAGACAGCCGCCATTTTCCGCAAGGCCAACGAATAATCGGATAATTTCGGGAAGGAACGAACGACAACCTTTACGAGTGGGTCGTGACACGCGTAGGAGTCGCCGCGTGTCCTTTTATCTGCACGTGGACAACACTTGCGGAGCCCACGGTTCATCGGGAACTTCCCGTGCAAAACGCGAGATCATGGAAAAATAGTGTCAATCGAGGGACACAGCTGCGAAGGACGTTTCACGAAATATTGTAAACGGCGTTTAAGTTTAAGTTGGATCTACATTTTCAATATACTTCTAAATATTTCTGCTGAGTGGCCCGTATTTAGACCGCTTTTCTGAAGATTTTCCCTCCTATTTGAAATGTTAGGTGCACAAATGAATTCGGTGCCTTTTCTCACAAACTTTAAAATTGATCTCAATTTTAAAAATGATCTCTATTATCTCTAGATCACTCTTTTCCATTTATCGAGTAACCGACGAATTCCGTCTCTGAAAAATTATCGCGGTTTTGGGTCGATAAAGTCGTATCGAGGCTTTGTGATAAAAGGCATTAAATTAATTAATTTCTGCACGCGATACATAATATTTAAATCTCCTCCGATGATGGTAGAAAGATTTCGACAGAAATTGGTAAAGAACCAAATTTGAAATGGGTCTATATCTGTTGCAACAACAATTACGGAATGTTTCGGAATATTGTTCAATATTGTGAAACAACATTTTCTAGAACAGCGTATGACGTGCTTAACACGTTCGCTACTACGTTCCGTTCGAGTATCGCACACCATCGTATTACTTTTGTTTACGTTTTTAATATCTATATTTTTATCAGCTTTGCACAATACCGTGCATGCATGTACTTATGCACACGTGGCGTACAAGGTGAGTCACATGAGACCAGAAACTGTCTATTGTGCCGAAAAATGTTTCAGAGAAAAGTCGAACGGTGTCAAGGGAGACATAATTTAAATACGAAGGTCCAATTTGCTTTTTTCTTTTAAATAGAATCGTATACTTTTCAGCGCATTTCGAGGCTGAGCGATCTTAATAATTTCCTAACCACTATTTAGGGTTTCTTCGCGTTCAATTGGTGTTCTAATCCTATGTACGGGGTAGAACTGCGGGGGAACAGGGAGAGGAAAGAAGCGGAAAGAGTCCAAATGAGATACCTAAAATGGACATCAGGGCTAAGCGTGCAAACACCGGATTATATCGTTTTGGAGGAGTCTAAGTGAGAGGCTGAGGATCAGAGCGGGAGTCAGGGCATGGAAATTTGAGGAGATAGCAAGAGACTTAGTAAAGGAATGTGTGAAGGAGAAAGAATCAAGAAGCATGAAGACTGGAAGTGTCACAGAGAGAGAAGGGTACCTGAAAAGAAACGGAGTTAGCTTATTGGGAATACAACAAAGACGAGAGCAGGGTGCGGACAGTGTAGAAGAGTTAAGGAAGTATAGTCGGGGCCACGATATAGCAAGGTCGTAAAATCGGTCAGACGTCAAAGTAAACATGTTTTAGCTGCCGGGACCCGAAAATTGACAGAGATACGAGCAGATAAGTACTTGAAACCATTGTCAGGACCGTACGAAGAATTCTTGTATCCAGCGAAAGTCAACTGATTCTAATATACTTACTGAAAACTGCATGCAGCTAGGACAAATTAGGGTTTCTCCCTCTGGGGGAAGCCGCTTTTGGAAGTAGCCAGTGCAAAATCAACCAAAAGTACGACTCAACTCAAGCGTAATACGTTTCAGATGAAACTTTTCCACTCATGAAACAATTAATAACACCAGAATATGCCCCCTTCGACACCGTTTAAGTTTCATCTGAAACATTCTCCGCTATGAGTAGTAATAACGAGAAAATCAAGATGTCAAAAGCAGCTGAGACACCCTGTATAAAGACCGAGTGGTTATCGGCTAGAAAGATGGAACAGGAGAATAGGCGATGCGAGTTCTGCGATCACAGGTTTGGGAACCTAGAGCACATG